AAACAGCCCCCAGGGCACAGAAAACATCCACAGAGCACCCAAAACATCCCCCAGAGCACTGAAAACACCCCTGAGAGCACTGAAAACACCCACACAGAGCACCCAAAACACCCCCCAGAGCACATCCCACCCAGGGCACTGAAATCACTGCCCCAGGGCACTGAAAACACCCCCAAGGGCACCCAAAACACCCCAAACCCCTGGGAGATGTTCCACAGCAGGACCTGGTGATGCCCCGCACAGGGAGCAGGTGTTGGGCACCACGTTAGGACCAAAGGGCGCTGGAAAATATTCTGTGATCAGCAAAACCACAAGGCAGGAACCGAGCATGCCAAGGTGCCAAGGTGTGCTCTGAGCAGGAACCGAGCATGCCAAGGTGCCTGGAGTGCTCTGAGCGTTCCACATGCCCCAGCACAGCTCCTCATCCCTGCTTTGCTGCAGAGAGAAATCCAGCAGGGCACCCACTGGGCACCAAGGCAGGGCTGCCAGTGTTCCAGAGCAGACTGTGGTGCTGGCATCCCTCCAGGATTCCCTGCTTTTTGTCATTTGGGGAAAACCCTTCCCTTCCAACCCCAACTCCATGGGTGCACATAGTAAATTTGCCTTTGAGGTGCCTTTGAACCCGAGTGTTGTGGGATTCTGTGGAACAGTGGGAGCTTGCATCAGATGAAGGGAAGTGAAGTTTCCACTTTCCCTTTCCAAACCACCCCCCTGATCCCCAACAAACGCTGGGGCTGCTCTCCTCACCCTTTCCCTTTTGTACCTTTTTCTTTGGAGCACAAAGGAGCTAAATATGAATGGTGCCAAAGGAAGAAATATCGAGGTTTAAGTGAATCTCTAAGATAGCCCTAAAGTGAGCTCTTGACTGGAGCCTTTATCTCATTGACTCACTGGAATGGCTCTTTTTTATCATCCTATTTATGGCAACAGCCCCAACAGAGATAAATAGGCCTGGAGACAATAACACACTTGCAGAGAGCAGCACGGGGAAGTCTTGCAGGCTTCACATCGCACTGGGCTGCAGAGATCCTCTAACAATCTCCTGGAGGCCTCTGACGGCTCCCAAAGAGCAAAGCATCCCTCTGTCCGTGCAGAGGATGAGCAAATCCCCTCCTGCTCCATCCCTCAGCCTTTCAGCCATCCCCAAACCCAGCGGGAGCATCACCCCTGGCCCAGCACCTTCCAGGGAGCAGCTGGAAGCAGGAACATGTGAGAATGAAAGGGGAGAGGTGGCAAATTAAATACAAACACTCCAGCACTGGGGGCCTCCCAACAAAGATGACAGAGGCTTCGAGGAACAGCAAGATAAACACAATTATTCACAGCTTAAAAAAATAAAGCTAAAAAATGATCACTGCTCCAAAGTGCAGATGCTTGAAGGGAGCGTTGATAAATCCCATCAGGGGAAGAGCCCTTGTTGGGAATAGGCTGATGCTGAAATGTCATGGCCAAAAGGGCAGAGGAAATGACACTTTTCTCTCCTCTTGTCATCGAGGGTTTTGTCTCTGCAAAATGAAGATAACAACCTTTACCTGCCTCCCAGGTGGCTTGTGAAGATTCAGCTCATTAGCATGAGGGAAGTGCTCGCTGATCCTTGCACAGGAGCTGCTGCAGGAGCAGCCCCAGAGCCCCCAGCCCTGCTCCTGCTGCAGCAGCCCCTGCCCAGGGTGGGCACACAGGGGTGGAAACAATTCCCTGCTGCCAGAGGAGCTGGGGCAGGGAAGCCTTTGGGGCGTGGTGCACCAAGGGTGGCTCTGCTGTGGGGGCTCGCTTGGGAAGGAAAAAACCTAAAAACCCCAAAGATGCTCAGAGTGCCCTGGGCTGCTGCTGGGGGAGGCTCAGAGCCCTGCTGGTACCCCCAGCCCCTCCNACTATACAGATATAAATACTGTCAGAGTGCTTTTGCTTTGTGTGATTGGTCAAGAAGCTTATAAAGTGAGTTGTAACATTAAGTTCTGTGTCTGCTGCCTAGAATGTGAGCTGCTGACATCTTCCCATTGTCACAACCATGTAACGAGACTGATGCTGGAAAATAAACCAGCTCGAGGCACGTCCACAGCAGCCCCATCCCGTTTATGTCTGTAAATAACGCCCAGCCGGCTGGAGGAGCCACCACTTACCCTGATCCACGGGGATGGCAGGGACGTCTCTGGCTGCTGGTGACACGCAGAGCACCTGGCTGCCCGACACCTGCCCCTCCACCTCGCTGAGGTTCCCGAAGAGGCAGCTGACCCCGGCACTGAGGTCTGGGGCGTCGCTCACCCGCAGCCTGAGCTGCAGCAGGACAGCAGGGAGCAAAGCAGAGCTGTCAGCAGGAGAGCAGCCAGACCTCCCCCAAATCCCCAGCCCTGCCTGTTTCCCACCCAAAACAACCCCCTGAAATCACACACCTGCCCACTGTTGGTGCCAGCTGCCCTGTGATGGGGAAGGGAGGAGGGAAAAGGAAGGCGAGGATGTTTTGTGGATAGAAACCATGCTGACCCTTGGGGTGCTGGCAATGGCAGATTTTTGTCCCCTGGTTGCTTTGCCAGCCCCAGTGCCTGTGGCAGGACCCTGAGAGCAGCAGGGACCATCCCCAAAGCCATGAGCTCAAACCACCTCCCTCCCCACTGCAGGAATGGGGGAGACCACCCTGCCCTGGCTGGGAGGAGAGTCCCAGTGTCCCCAGAGTGGCTGGGGAGTGTCCCCACCATGGCTGGGCAGTGTCCCCAGAATGGCTGGGCAGTGTCCCCATGGCAAACCAGTGCCCGCAGGACTGAGCCCCCTCTCCCCACACCATTTTTACAGGGGGCTGCAAGGGGGGCAGCAGCACCAGCTGCCACAGGGGAGTGGGGCAGCAACAGCTGGGAAGGCTCAGAGAGCCAGGCCTGAGCCCAGCTCACGGAGGAGCTTTTTGGGAAACAAAGCCTTTCCTTTAGGAGCAGGGAAATGTGAGCCGAGGCACCAGGGAAGGGGATTTGTTTCTGCCCCCACTCTCCACCCTCCCGAGCGACCCCTTGGCTGCCCCATCCCTGTGTGAGGGTGACTTCATGAGAAAACACTTGTGCCGGGGGAAGGGGAAGGCTGGGCTGTGGATTGCTCCCTGCT